TATTTCATATGTTTCTCGGAATCTGTCTGTTTCTTCTGTGTTATCAAACCTTTGAGAGTAGAGGTTTTTGAAATAGGTGTTGATGATCTTCTGTATTTCTACAGTCTGTAGTGATTTCACCTTTTTCATTTCTTATTGCATGAATTTGAGCTTTTTCTTCCCTTTTTTTCATAAGGTTGGATAGGGGCTATCAATTTTATTTATTCTTTCACAGAACCAACTCTTTGATTCGTTGATTCTTTGGATTGTTTTCTTAGTCTCTATTGCATTGATTTTTGCTCTGATTTTTATAGTTTCCTCTTCTTTTGGCTTTGGGCTTGACTTGGTCTTTTTCTAGATGCTTGAGATGTAGCATCAGGTTATTTATTTGTATTCATTCTGTTTTCCTGATGTGGGAATTCAGTGCAATAAATTTCCCTCTGAGGACGGCTTTCACTGCATTCCACAGATTCTGGTAAGTTTTATTTGTATTTTCATATTCCTGTAGGTATTGTTTAATTTTTTCTTTAATTTCCCCTGTGATCCACTGATTACTCAAGAGTGTATTATTCAGTTTCCATGTATTTGTGGGATTTTGGCAGTATCTTTTATTATTAATTTCTAATTTCAAAGCGCTATGATTTGATAACATGCAAGCGATAATTTCAACTCTTTTTCATTTATTTAAATATGTTCTGTGAGCTAATATATGGTCTATTTTAGAGAATGACCCATGTATTGCTGAGAAGAATGTGTATTCTGATGTTGTTGGATAGAACACTCTGTATGTGTCTATCAAGTCCATTTGTTCACAGGTGTGATTCAGTTCTGTTATTTCTTTGCTGATTTTCTGTCCAGTTGGTCTGTTCCTTGGTGTCAATATTATATTAAGGTCTCTTGTTACAGTTGTGTTACTGATAATTTGATTTTTCATTTGTGTTAATACTTGTTTTATATAACTGGGTGCTCTGGAATTTGGTGCATATATATTTAAGATAGTTATCTCTTCCTCTTGAAGTTTTCTCCTAACAAGTATGTAGTGACCTTCTTTGTCTCTTCTGATCATTATTGGTTTAAAGTTCACAGTGTCTGCAAACAGAATGGCTACTACTTTTTTTTGGGGGGGGGGTTCCTGTTGAGTAAAGTATTGTTTTCCATCCTTTGACTTTCAGTCTGGGAGTATCCTTTTGGGTTAGATGGGTTTCTTGTAGACAGCATATGGTTGGATTTTATTTCTTGATCCTTTCTGCTACTCTGTTTCTTTTAATTGGTAAATTGAGATGATTTACATTATTAATGATTATGATTGTTATATATTTGCTTATTGTTGACATGTTATCTTTCTGCTGTTGCATCTTTATCTGTCTGCTCTGTTTAATTGTCTGCTTTGGTTAGTGGTTTTTTCCTACGTGTATCTAAACTGTCTTTCAATATTTTTTGCAGGGTTGGCTTGGTGAACATAAAGTTCTTCAGCTGTTCTTTGTCACGGAAGTATCTTATTTCACCATAGATTTTGAAGGACAGTTTTTCAGGGTACATCACTCTAGGTTGGAAATCATTTTCCTTTAGGATCTGGAATACTTCACTCCATGCTCTTCTTGACTTTATTGTTTGTGCTGAGAAGTCTGCTGTGATTCTGATAGGTTTTCCTTTATAAGTGATCTGTCTTTTCTCTCTGACAGCTTTTAAAATTCTATTCTTATGATGGATTTCTGAGATGGTGATTGGGCATCTGGGTGTAGTTTTATTTTGGTTACTGGTATTGGAGTTCTATAAGCTTCACTGATCCTGATGTCAGTTTCCATTCTCATCTTTGGGAAATTTTCAGCTATTACCTCTCTAAATATCCTCTTGATATTCTTTATCCCTCTTTTTCATTTATCCCTATCAATTGTATGTTGTTTTTCTTTGTATCACCTTGCAGCTGTTGAATTGTTATTTCCTGATTCCTTGTTATTTTAAAAGATCTTTCCTTTCCTGTTCACTAGCTGTAATCTTGTCTTCGAGGTCTGAAATCCTATCTTCACTTTTGTTGAGTTGGTCTTGAAAATGGAATGGAACAATGGAATTTTTTACTTCCTGTATATCTCTTTGAATCTGCTTCATATATTCTGTTTCTTATATTATTTATCCAGGAATTCTTTTTGTTTTATTCCTCTAATTTTAACTGTGTCTTCTTTAGATGTGTTCAGCATCTCTATCATTTGTTCTTTTACCTGGGAGATTATTTCTAATTTGAATTCCTTTAAAACTTTATTTCAGTTGCTATTATTTCAGGTATTTCAGGTATGGCATATATTTTCTTCTATGTACATAGCTCCTAGGGTTTCTTGGAATGGGCTAGAGGTTTGAGATTTTATTTTGGTCTTTCATTTTGTCATTTTCCTATATTTCTATATTTCAAGTGTTGTTCCAAGGCTTCCCCTGGGCCTGTTGGAAATCCTCGTCTATGCTCTCTGCTCCTGGGATTCTGGCCGCCCAATTCCCAGGACTGAGAGTGGTTCACTGGGGTTTGGCAGGCAGGCCCAAGACCTGTTGGAGCTGGTTGAGTGTGGCAGGAACCTGTGAAGTTCCTTGGCCCGTGGGAGTGATGATCTTAAACTCCAGGGGCTCGGGATGGTGGGGGGACACTTACCTCCAGCTGCCCAGTTTCCAGAATTGAGGGTGCAGGCAGGCCCAAGCCCCCCATAGCCGGCCGAGCACAGCAGGAAGCTGGAACGTTGGTGTAGGCAGGCCCAAGACCTATGGAGCCAGTCAAGTGTGGCAGAAAGCTGGGAAGTTCCTTGACCAGCTGGAGTGATGAGCCTAAACTCCTGGGGCTCAGGATGGTACATGGACACTCACCTCCTGCAGCCCAGTTCCCAGGATTGAGAGAGGGTTACTGGGGGTGGGGCAAGCAGGCCCAAGACCTGCAGAAATGGTTTAGTGTGCAGGAAGCTGGAAAGTTCTTTGGCTGGTGGGAGCGATGATCTTAAACTCCTATGGCTCGGAATGGTGCGGGGACACTCACCTATGGCCACCCAGTTCCTAGGATTGAGGGCTCAGGCAGGCCCAAGACCCCCAGAGCCAGATGAGGGTGGCAGGAAGCTGGGAAGTTGGTGCAGGCAGGCCCGACACTTGTGAAGCCAGTCAAGTGTGGCAGGAAGCTGGGAAGTTCCTTGACCAGTGGGAGCGATGATCCCAAAGTCCCCGGGCTTGGGATGGTGGGCAGACACTCCCAATACGTATTTATTTAACCAGTCAGCTACTATGTTATATAGTGTAATCACTGTACACATGTATACATGTATTTAGTTATGACATTGTTCCCAAAACAAAAAATGAAACTTTTCAATTTATACTTATTTGAATAATAAGACAAAATATCTTTTCCTTATTATAGGCCACTTACATTTATTTCTTCATTGTAAACTAGTTTTTGATAATCGTTTTCAATGTTTATTAGTTTTTAAAATTTTTTTTATTTTAAAGAGATTAAGACAAAAGAGGACATAACAAAGCAGATCAGAACAAAACAATGTAAGCAACACAGTATTTCACCACAAGACAACCCGTAATTAACAGTAACTACCATAATGTCTCTTTCTTTGAAATAGTTGAGCATATTGTATATTCATATACAATAGTATCAAACATTAAAAAATAGTATAAAACCATTCAAGAGAATGAAAATATTACGGGGCATTCAGAACCAAATAACAGAGAACGAACAATGGCTACTGTATTATCTCATTTTACATAGAAAATTGGTTTATACTATCACACATAATAAAATCCAATAAGATACAATATGATAGAACCAATGGAAACAGAAGAACAAAAGAAAAGCATGGTAGGACCTCAGAGTAAGATGATATTAAATCAGCACTGGCTATTATAACATCTTGCTTTCTTCAAAATAGCTGTTCATACTTTCACATTCAGTGTTTGTTACAGTAAAATTTTCATTTCAACAAACATTCTACAGGTCACAAAGATTTTACGCCCTTTTTAGTGACTCTACCTGCTAAGTCAGTATTTCCACTGTCTTCTCTCACATCTAACGCTCTTTCCATTCAAACACCTACTGTTTGACAAAGCTATGTAAGCTTTCTCAAACTTCTCTGCATATATGTACCAGATAGCAGTCATTCTCTGTTACCTTTTGTCCTTTTTCCCTCCTAGTCTAATTCTAACTCATCTTTCAAAGTTCAGATCAAGGACAAATTCCTCCTCTTTGACTCCCACCTGTGCAATATCTGCTATAAAGTCAATCACAACTTTATGTACTTAACTATTGGTTTAGAATAGTCTGTCTCTCCAGTATATTGAACTCTTGAGACTTGTGTTGTATTTGATGAATAGATTCAGAACAGTGCCCAATACTTACCAGGTACTAATTTTTTGTTGTCTGCATGAGTTTAAAATAGTAGCATTATTGTTAATATTAACAAGTATATGCCAGCTACATGAAAATAAAAGACATTCTGTGTAATGTTACTTGTATAGTGCTTTTTACTTAACATAGTACCATAATTACATTTTGAAGAAGTTCCCTCCACATCATATACAGTAATGCACGCTTTGGGAGCTGAGTCAGGAAATCACTGAGTCTAGGAGTTCAAAATCAGCCTGGATAACTCAGCAAGACCAGACACACACACACACACACACACACACACACACACACACACACACACACATAGTGAAAAGAGGATCTTCAGATAATAAATCCTCACCAAATAAAATAATTAAGGTTTTTATTCCCTGATAAAACTGAGAATATCATTTATTAAAATGTGTTTTCATTTTAGGGATAAAATAATTTATTTAACTGCCTTTAGTTATATCTCTGGTCTCTAGTTAAGAAAATTTCTTTGTATTAGGAAAGAAAATTGAGAATTTAAAAGTACAAAAAAGAATATTAATTGAGCATGACAACTTTGTAATCTGAACAGTAAGTTTCTTCCTTCCAAAATCTCCTTTGTAATTTGACCAAGATTCGTTTTGAATTAATCTTTTATTTTGCTTTATTTCCCAAGGATATCCATTATCTAGCCCTAGATAAGGGTGAACTGGCGCTAGCTGAAGTGGCAAGGAAAAAAGCAAGTGACATTGATGAAGAGTCAGTAACCTTTGGAGTTGGTATGCTGTTTTTTTAAGTGTTTTTTTGTTTTAATACTTATCATCTCTACTTATGTCTGTAGGCCATGATTGATGAATTTGAATTACATTCTTTGTAAAGAAAGCATCCTTTAAAAAGAATTATTAAATTTGAAAATAGTACAATATTGGTAAACAAAGTATAGTTATATGTGAAAATTGATGATCAGTAATTACTATAGTCACTACTAGCAAAAAGTGAAAACATCTTGCTCTTTTGATAAGATTTTAGGGAAAAGAATTTTTTATCATGCTGTTTTGTGCTGTTACAACATAGAAAGTTATATAAGCATTAATCTATACACAGAGATGTTATATATCTTAACATAATTTTCTCCTGTATCAAAGTATTTCACATGGGATTTCAGGTTTGATGAGTAATTAGTTTGTTGAGAAACTGATAAGCTGATGTTTACAGTTCACTATCCAAAAAAAATCAGAAGCCAAGTTTGAGTCTAAAGATCCATTTAAACTTTAGAAAAATAAAAGATTATAAAATATAATATAAAAATACAAACATTAACTTCCTTTTCCTTTTTGCTGCTGAATATTAAATTGAAGAGCACTCTACCACTGAATTACATCCCCAGCCCTTTGATTTTTGATGCAGGATCTCACTAAATTGCCTGAACTGGCGGGTTCTACCTCGGCTTTCAAAGTACTTAGGGTCTTTACCTATCCTTACTCCTTTTATTTCTCTCTCTTGTCTAATTGCTCTTGTTAGTATTTCCAGCACTATATTGCATAGGAGTGGTGATAATGGACATCCTTGTTTTGTTCCTGAATTTAGGGTAAAGGCTTTCAGTTTATGGGTGTTTAATATGATGCTGGCTATTGTGTTGCCATAGATGGCTTTTATCATATTGAAGTAAAGACCATCTTGATAGGAAAAAAACTTAAATTATCATTATTTTCAGATGACATGATACTTTACATAGAAGACCCCCCCTAAACTCCATTGAAAGACTCCTAGGTATAATAACTAAATTCAGTAATGTAGCTGGATACAAAGTCAACACTCAAAATCAATAGCATTTCTATACACTAACAACAAAATCACTGAGAGAGACATAAGAGAAGTCACACCCTATATAATAGCATCCAACAAAATGAAATGCTTAGGAATTAATCTAACAAAAGAAGCAAAAGATTTATCCAGGGAAAATTATAATACCCTGTAAAAGAAATGGAAGAGGACCTCAGAAAATGGAAAGACATCCCTTGTTCAGGGATAGGAACAACAAACATTGTGAAAATGGCCATTCTCCCAAAATTCTTACACAGATTTAATGCAATCCCAATCAAAATACCACTTGCATAACTCAGAGATCTAGGAAAATCACTCCTAAAATTCATCTGGAACTAAGAGGCCCAGGATAGCAAAGGCAATTCTAAGCAACAAAGGCAAGGCAGGAGACATCACAATCCCTGACTTGAAGCTATACTACAAACCTACTGTAATATAATCATCATGGTACTGGAATAAAAACAGACTTGAAAATCAGTAGAATAGATTTGAAGACACAACTACAACTACAAACACACTCAGCTACCTTATCTGTAATAAAGGGGACAAACACATTCACTGGAAGACACATTCACTTCCAAACACATTCACTGGAAGAAAGATAGCCTTATTAATAAATGATGCTAGAAAAACTGGCTCTCCATGTACTGAAAACTAAAACTACACCCATGCCTATCACCATATACTAAAGTCTAAATAGATAAAAGATCTAAATATTAAAACAGAAACACTAAATTTTTTGGAAGACAAAGTAGGTAGACAACTTGAAGCCACAGAGTAGCTAGAGAATTCATGAACAAGAATCAAACTGCATGTGAAATACTTCACAGAATCAATAACTGGGATCTTGGTCCTATTGAAGAGTTTTTGCATGCCGAAAGAAATCTCCAGCATACCCAAAAGAAAATCCACAAATTGGGAAAAAATCTCAGTGAACAGTCCCTCAGACAGAGGATTTTGTTCTAGAATATATAAAGAATTTAAAAAATTAGATCCCCAAAATTCAAAGACCCATTCCAAAAATGGGCATCTGAGATGAATACACAGTTTTTAGATGAAATACAAATGGCAAATAAATACATGAAAAAATATTCAGCATCATTGGTCATTAGAGAAATGCAAATTAAAACAGCACTGAGGTTCCATCTCACTCTAGAAAAAATGGCCAGGATCAAGAAAACTACCAACAACAAATGCTAGAGAGGCTGTGGGAAAAAAGGAACTCTTCTGCACTGTTGTTGGGAGTGTACACTGGTACAACCTTTTTGGAGGTCAGTCTGGAGATTTCTCAGAAAGCTGGGATTGGAAGTCCCATTTGACCCAGCTATCCGACTTCTGGGCATATTCCCAGAAGAACTGAAAACATCATACCACAGTGATATATGTGCACCTATGTGTATAGCAGCACAATTTGTAATAGCCAGATCTTGGAAACAACCTAAATCCCATCAACTGAGGAATGGATAAAAGACATGTGATATTTTTAGACAATAGCGTACTACTCAGATATAAAGAATGTTCACATTGAGATATTTATAAGTAAATGGATGCAACTCAAGACCATACTCAAATAAATCAAACACACATGTGTAAATACTATATAGTCTCCCTAGTGTAATAAAAGGTAACAGTACATAAGTTACAAAAAACTCAATAATTACAGTGAAAGGATAAGAATCTGCTTAAAGGAGAAAAAAATAATATCTCGGGAAATGAAGAAAAAGGGAAAATAAAAAATGTTTAAAATTATATAAACACATTTAGGATAGGTACGATGATTGCACTACAAATTGTATAAGTTCTTAAATCAAAATAGTTAACGTTCATTGGATTGGAACAATTGTGCATATTATTGTATAGTGATCTGAGGAATTCTTGAAGATCATTATGTAAAATAACAACCCTAGTTATGCTCATAACACCTTGTTTTGAAGGCCTATACTGTCAGTGTTCTGGGCTATTTGCTGTTATTATTTATATTTTTTGTCTTTCTTTTTTTATTTTAAAGAGGGTAAAATTAACAACAAAACAGATCTTAAGGAAACAATTTTAAGAAACACAGATTTCACAGCAAAACCACTGGACATCTTCACTATCTATCATATTGTCTCTTCTCTTCTTCCAAGTAGTTGTCCACATCTTCACACACAGTGAATACATACTGAACAGTATAGTACTAAACTATTCAGAACAGGATGATGAAGGCATTTTAGGTATTCAAGACCAGACAACAGGGAAGTCAACAATGGCTGCCATAATATCTCTCATTCTCTTCGAAATAGTTGTCCATATCTTTACGTATGTTGAAATTAAACATATGAGACTAGACTAATATCACTCTGAACAGTGAATAATAGTATTGCTAATTTTATATCATAATGCTACAGAATTAGCACTGGGAATCTTAGTGTCTCTTCTTCAGAATATCTGTTCATTACATCGTGCTTTATATAATCTGTTCTCATAAACCGTTTAGAAATTCTACACATGTGTGAATCTCTACATGTATACCTATCCTTTCTGTATTATAGGAAAAAACAGATCAAAACAAGACAACGAAACAAATTCCTAGGAAAACACGAAACAATAAAGACATATAAAATCACAATACTAGGTGATCTATAGTAATTACTATGCTATCTCTTATTATTTTCAATAGAATTCTCTACATCATCAGGCATAATATAATTGAACATAGCATTACATAGCAATTTTAATAAAAACACAACATTGGAGACATTGTAGGATTTCAAAAGCAGTTAATAATCAAACTAGAATGGGTATCTTATTGCATCTTGTCATCTTGAAAGTAGTTGCCTCTACCCTTACATGTGATACTATCAAGCATACCAAATTCAAATAAAATCAGTCAAGACAAAACAGCAGTCTAGCAACCCAGATTCAAATAAGATCAGTCATAGTAAGACAATGTAAGTAATACAAGGCTTCAGTTTAAGTTAAGAGGAAATTAAGTTACCATAGTATATCCTGCTATTTTGGGGATAGCTATCTGTGCCCTCAACTCTAGTATGATTTGACTGGAACAAAATAAAATCAAAGTAAACAGAGGAATAAGACTAATGTGGCTTTTAAATCCTGATACACTGTTAACAATGCCCTCTGCCTTCTTTTTTAGATAATTCCTCCCCTTTCCCTTTCTCAGGGTGCTTTGTATATTTTGGGTCCCACTAACTCCTTTAGTTTTTAGATTAGGGGGGCAACCCTTTATCTATCTAACTGGTGCCGAACTTTTTTACACCTGAGCTTGATCTTGAGCTTTATTCCTTTACCTACTAAAGCCTCAAGGTTTTCCTTTTTTCTAGCTGAGTAGTTCTCCACCGCACAAAAGTGTCATGACTTTCCAACCTATCTGCAGCTGCTGGATGATTTTTCCCTATTTCTCTCTGGTTCTCTGTCACATAGAGCATCATCTTCTCATCTTTGACTTCCAGTTTATTAACCCTTTTTCAGGTTGAGTATATTTCCTGTTCAGAGCATCTTGATGGGCCATATCTCCTGATCTACTCTGCCCGTGTTTCTTTTTGTTAGGGTATCAAGGCCATCTATATTAGAGATTATAGCCAACCCTCTCTGCCTCATCTCTGCTATACTATTTTTCTGCTATTATTTGTCCACTTTTCTCCTTCATTCCACTGTCTACCCCGTTAATTGAGGCCTCTTTGCCATTGTTGCTGGAATCTTGGTATTTTTTCTATCTCTCTCTAGAATGTCCTTCAGTATTTTTTGTAGGGTTGGATTGAGGTCACAAACTCCCACAGTTCCTCCTTTTCATGGAAACATCTTGTTTCTCTGTTAATTTTGAGAGAGAGTTTTTCAGGGTACATCAATCTGGGTTGGAGGTTATTTTCTTTCAGGGCTTGGACTACTTCCCTCCAAGCTCTTCTTGATTGATAGTTTATGCTGAGAATTCTGTCATTATTTTGATGGGTCTTCC